TAGTGAACATTTAGAAAAGGAAGTGATCACCATTAGCTTAAGAGCAGGTCATTCCAGCCTGATCTAATTTCCTTCTTAAACAGGGTTACTGGACTAGTAGATCAGAGGAATTCTAAATATATACATACAAACATATACATACTTAGACACACATATATGCATTACACACATCCATACATATCATACCTAGATTTCAGTGAAGCATTTCAGTCTCCTCTTTGGGGGAAAATATAACTTAGAGGATTATACAGTTAAGTGGATTCAGAAATGACCAAAAGAATCATAATTCCTGACCCCATGTCACCTTGGAAGGAAATTCCTCATGGATCTTACCTCAGTTTTTTCTTATTCAACTTCATAAAAACAAACAAACAAAAAAACAACCCAGTGATTTGAAGCTACAAATGTTACATCTGCAGACAACTGGATGCTAGGAGAGGTAGCTAACATGTAGAATGACAGTGTGAGGATCCAAACATTTATTGAATTTGAATCTTGACAGGGTAGAACAGTGGGCCAAACTTAATAAGAAATTATGTGGGAATAAGTGTAAAGCCCTACACTTGGGTTCTCAAAATCAGCTCCAGAAATTCAAGATGGGAAAGGCAGGGTTAGACAATAGTTTGTATGGAAAAAAAGAAAGGCCTTGTAGGTTGTAGTTGACTGCAAGTTCAATATTTGTCAAACATGAGGCTTAGCAGTTCCAAAAGCTAACATGATATAAGCCCTCATTAATAGAAAGTGTTCAGTACACAGGTGATGAGAGTCCTGCTGTGCTCAGCCTTGGCCATTTAAAAAAATATTTTATTTTTTCCCCAGTTACATGTAAAGACAATTTTTAACATTTTTTTATGGTTCTGCTCTAATTCTTTATTTGGAACTTCCCCTTTATTTTCTTTTTCTCTTAATAGTATTTTATTTTTTCTCCCAATTACATGTAAAGATAGTTTTCAACATTCATTTTTGTAAGATTTTGAGTTCCAATTTTTTTCCCTCCCTTCCCTCCCCCTCCCCTTCCCCAAGACAGCAAGCAATTTGATATAGGTTATACATGTCTAATCATGCAAAACATATTGCCATATTAGTCATGTTGTGAAAGAATATACAGACCCAAATGGGGAAAAACACAAAAAAATAGTAGTGAAAAAATTGTATGCTTTGATCTGCATTCAGGCTCCATAAGTTCTTTCTTTGGAGGTAGATAGCACTTTTCATGAGTCTTTTGGAATTATCTTGAATCACTGTATTGCTGAGAATAGCTAAGTCTTTCACAGCTGATCATCACTATACAGTATTGCTACTACTGTGTACGATGTTTTCCTGGTTCTGCTCACTTCATTTTGCATCAGTTCATATATCTTACCAAGTTTTTCTGAAATCAGCCTGCTAGTCATCTTTTATAGTATAGTAATATTCCATTACAATCATATACCACAACTTGTTCAGCCATTCCCAAATTGCTATAAATTTATTTTTGTACAGACCTAGCAGTTATATTGCTGGATCAAAGGGTATGCCTAATTTTATGGCTTTGGGCATAGTTCCAGATTGCTCTCTAGAATGGTTGGATCAGTTCACAACTCCATTAGTGTCCCAAGTTTCTCACATCCCCTCAAACATTTATTTTCCTTTTCTGTCACATTAGCTAATCTGATAGGTATGAGGTGGTACTTCAGAGTTGTTTTAATTTGCATTTCTCTAATCAATAGTCATTTACAGCATTTTTTTATGATTATAGCTTTGATTTCTTCATCTAAAAACTGCCTGCTCATATCTTTTGACTGTTTATCAATTGGGGAGTGAGTTATATTCTCATAAATTTGAATCAGTTCTCTATGTATTTGAGAAATGAGGCCTTTATCAGAGACGCTTGCTGCAAAGATTGTTTTTGCTTTCTGCTTGCCTTCTAATCTTGGTTCCACGGGTTTTGTTTATGCATGGGCGTCGTGTTTTAGGAAGAACAAACTGAAGGCCAACCAGGTTGGGGAGAGGACTGGAGATCACGGGGTACAAGGAATTGGGGATATTTAAGCCTTGGAGATGTGACTGCCTAGGTAAACATGGTATAGTGGTATGAGAAGGCCTGTCATTCCTCTGCTCAAAAACTTTCAGTGACTCTCTATTATATCCCAAGTTCAAGTTCTATGTATATGTGTAACATTCAAGGCCCTCTACGATCAAGTGATATTCTATCTTTAAAATATATGTGTATAATATATATATATATATTATTGGTTATCTTTTAACATTATCTACATTTCCTAATGTATTCTTCTTTTAGAGAGCTATCCCTTATAAAAATAATAAAAAAAAAAAAATAACCAACCAGTTCAACAAAACCAGGAACTACTAGAAGAGGCCCAGTGGAGTGGGTCAAAAAACTTTACACTAAGAAGACCTGGATTCAGTTCCCATCTGTGACACATACTGGCTGTGTGATCCTGGACAAGTCACTTCACCTGTAGGCAAGTAAAGGCAGCCTTGCACAGGCAGAAGCAGTTCCCTCATCCAGGAATTTTCTGTATCACAGAAATCACAAGTCCAGTGTCTACTCCCATTAGCAAAACCAACACGTGGAAAAGAAAAATCTGAAATCATATGCAATGCTACATACCCTCTGAAAAACGGGGCTCCATTACCTCTCTCCTTATGGCTTTTTATTCCCCTCCACCCTCCAAACAAAGGAGACACTCTGCCCCCTTTGATGTGCCCTGACATCTTCCTACTTCAAGTCTTTCTGTGGGCTGCTCCTTATTCCTGGAATACCACCTTCCAAAACTCAACTCAAATACCACTTTCTCCAGGCAGCTTTCCCCAAGTTACTCTCTGAATTATCACCTCCACACCTTTGCAAAGGTTCTCTACCTGGAACACATCCCCTATTTACCTTCCCTCATTTAGAATCCCATTTGTCAAGGATGACCCTGGGGCCACCATCTCCATGCTGCTTTCTTTGATCCCCTTAAGGGTTAGCATCCTTTGCCTTCAGTGCTTTGTATTGACTTACCTGCATGGCCCTCCAGAGTAGAAAGTAAGTTTCAAGAAGGAAAGTGTTTTTGTCCTCGTACCCTCAGCACTTGGCACACCATAGACAAGGAATTGGTCCCTTGTCTGATGACAACTTTCTCCCCAGATCTCACACAGGATGATACCATGATCCCCATACGTGCATATCTTGTAATACTGTGTCTTATCTATCTTGCTTCCTGCCTCTTCGAAGGCTGGGTGCTCCACAAGGGCAGGCATTGGTATCATTTCCTGCTACCCCCAGAGCAGAGTGTGTTCCACAAAATAGGTTTTCATGTTTTTCTAATTCAACTTACAGAATTTATTTTCTCTAACACTCTTGCCTTTGATGGAAGCATCAAACCACTTTTTTTGGGCGGGGGGAGACACTGAATACACCTGCCTGATATTATCTTTTTGTATGTGTTGGAATCTTGAAGGAAAACCATCTTTGCTCTCTACCACCAGCTACCAGGGCCTTCCAAGCAGACTCAGGAGAGTGAGGGCAGACCCACAGCTCCCTCCCTCCTCTTTGTTCACCTTGTTTTCTTTTCCATCAAATCCAAACTGTATTCATGTCCAAACCAAATATCACTTGTTGGAAAAACTCAGTACTTCACTAAGCAGAACTAACACCATTTGGTTGAATATGCAAGCTTGAGAAACTTTTTATTAAAAGAGGAAATAAAAGTGAACTGTGTCTTGGTGTGTGGGATGAAGGTAGATTGCATGTACCTGGCAGACTGGGAAAATGATCCAGAGAAGCAGATCTTAAGGATGAGGACAGAGTAAAGAGATCAAGGGGGCGTATTTTTGAGAATGTCTAATAACCTTTCTTCCTCTCCCAGCTCCTGCAAGTCAAGGATCTGGGTCCTATGGTCTATCAGAAACTCTCAAAGAAACTCTGAGCCAGAAGGAACATTAGACCATAATGTCAGAGCTGGAAAGGTCCTTAGTTATTTTACCTTCAGGCCTGCTTCCTCACCTTGAAATGAAGGATTTGAATGAGATGATCTCTAAGGTCCCTTCTGGCTCCCCAATTTGTAGTGAACATAGCTAGCTCCCAGAGCTGAGAAGAAACTTAGGAGCACAGAATGTCAGAGTTAGGAAGCCCTTTGGAGACTGTTTCAGTCCAACTCTCTTTTTATAGAGGAGGACATGAGATTCTTGAGTTCCCACTCCATTTCCCCCACTGGGGTTTCCTGGTCCCTGGCAGAACTGGCATTCAGAACTAGATTTTTAGCTCCAAAAGGGCTGTTTTGCAGGGGCGGGGGAGAAGAGGAAGAAGAAAAAGGAATATGGTTGTATATGGGGCACTGTATCCTATTTCCTCCTAGACAACCCGTCTAATCCTCTTAAGGCAGATCACAGATCACAGGAAGGGAATAAGTTCAATTGCCTCATTTACAAGAGGTCACGACAAGAGACCTAGTGAGGGCTCCAAAGAAGTCAGGTAGGGCTAGCCAATCTTAAGGCACAGAACTGTGATAATGCTGTTAGAAGTGGTCCATTAGAATGAGATGTTTATCAGGGCAGCAGCCTCTGAGGACCTTCCTGGGCCTGGGTGGCTATCAGCCCCGATGGACAGGAATGGTTGATCCCAAGGCTCCGCCCCCCCCATTCCAGGTCCCTTCCTACATCTACTGCCATCCCACCAGGCTCAGAAAGAGGGAGATCAAGGTAAGACCAAGGGCAGAGGCTATATCCTGACATCCAACGTCACTCAACTACAGAGATGGCATCAAGGCCACTCTATACCTGAGCTGGATTCCTTTCTAAAACATCCCTGACAAGTGATCATTCAGATGCTGCTCGATGACTTCTAGTGACGGGGAACTCACAAGCTCCCCAGGCCCTTGCTCTACTTTTGGACAGCTCTAATTATTACAGAAGTTCTTGCATACACGGAGACTGAATCTGCCTCTGCAGCTTCCCCACCAATGCACCTGGTTCTGCCCTCTGGGCCCAAGCTGGATGTGAGACACAGCACACCATGGAGACAAATGGAATATATTAATATTTACATAGGTGGGACACGATGCTGGGGGACAGGGAAAAGAAAAATAAGATAAACTGGGTCAGCAGGAGGGAGGGGGCAGCAGGCTGGAAGCCACACAGCCTACTATTTAGTCCCTGGGGCTCCAAAGGGTCTGCATGGTCAAGAGGTGGAGGGTCAGCAGACGTGGGGGGTGGGGCAGAGTCTCATCCTTCAGGGCTGTGACCGCGCTCCTGCCAAATCTGTCCATAAAAGTTAAAACAGAAAACTGGGAGGACATGTTGATGGGCTCCAGGCAAACAGGAGCATGTGCTTGAGAAGACAGAGGAAGTCAGCAGCACTCACTGAGCCCAGAACAGCCACGGCAGCTGTGGGAGTCCTGAGAAGATGGCAGCCTGTATAATGCCCACTGGCCTCTGGGAAGGGCCTGGAGGGCCATCTTGAGCCAAGACCCCAGTGCAGATCTGGCTCAACTCCCTGGGGAGGGGGAGGGGCAGAGACTAGGGGCAGAGAATCCAACTGGGCTGCCAGACACTTACTGTCCTGCTTTCTCTCGGAGAGGTTCAGGCGGCTCTTTCAAGGTGCTGGGTGCCCTGGACTCCAAAGGAGTCATCTAGTCATTTCCTTTGCCCTCGCAGGGCTTTTCCCTAATTGGCTGCAGGGCCCCTTCTCCTTCACAGTACTACAGGGCACCACTCCTCACCTCTGAACCAAGCTGGTTTGCTTGTCAGGCCTGTATCCCCACAAAGATTTCCCAAGAAGAAAGAGGCAACACCAAAGACAACCACACTCCATCCCACCCACTAAAGATCCACTCAAGATGCCATGTGACCTGAGGACAGGTGGCTGTGTACCTGATGGATCAGGGGGCAACGCTTAGTACATTTTGCTTCCCGAGGATAAAGCAAAGTGAGTCAGCTTGACATGGGCAGGGGCATAGGCACACAGGCTTGAAGGAGTGGGTGCCTACAAGAGCAAGGTGGAAGCAGGTATTGAATCAGAGCACCAGTCTGGTTCTTTCCTTCACCCAGGCTTGCTAACTATCAGCAATACCTTTACACAAAGCTAAGGTTCCTCTGAGATTTTTCCCTGCGAGGGGAGACAGGGTGCTGGTCTGAGTGGGATATGCAAACCTGAGAGCCAGGAATGCACAGTAAGGCAGAACATAAGTAGCAAAGTGAGTGCATGTGCCAGGAAGAAGGACGTTGGCGACAGTGGTAGGGGAAGGGAAGGGGCCCTCTCCAATGCACCTCTTATGACTGGGTCACAAACAGCTCCTGTAGTCGGTAGGAAGATCAGAGTTGAGAGGGGACACTCTTGACCATTGGAAAGTAAGACCCCGCTTTGCTGGGGGTGCTGGGACATCCTGGGAAATGTCAAAGGAAGGGAGGAGATACAGAAATGAGGCCAAGGCTTCCTGCTGAGACATGAGGGGAGCTGGTCCCCCTAACTTCCCTGGAGTCAGGGAGGGAGAGGACACAAACAAGTCTAAGGGCTTTCGAGCTGCAGAGTTCTTTATCTTGGGGAATACCCAAACCCCAGAGATGGCTTCAGAGCGGATTCGGCCAGATTCCCCGTCTGGAGGGAGAGGCCTGGCTTCAGGGTGAGGAGTCAAGGACCTCTTAAATGGCACGTATGACCATGCCCCTCAGGGATGCCATGCCTGTACAGAGTAGAGGAAAGGGGCCTCAGTGGGGGCAGAGAAGGACTGGGACTCCCCACTCTCACCTCTAGTCCCTGAATCATTCTGGACTTCCAAGAGGAGGGCCTAGGGGGAAGGGAGACAGCAGCTAGGATTCAGATATACCCACTGACTCAGCCCATCTCCCAGGTAAGCCAAACTAACTAGTTCTGAAGATGCTCTATGGCTAACAAGTAAGGGTGAAACCTCAAGATTCTGGACGGAGGAACTCCTCCCTCAATCCCTGCTGCCCAAGTCTGAGTCCTGAAAGCTAATGTGCCCAGATGATCTCGGAGGGGCTGGGGCTGGGGATGGGACAGGGATGGGGACGGGGGCACATTTCTCACTTCACAACTTCCGGATCTTCTCAGCCACAATGATGGGGTTCTCCTTGCGGATCTTCTCAGCGGCCTCAGCCTTGTAGTCAAAGGGACAACTGTGTTTTTCTGAGTATCGGTGCATGGCACAAAACAGATTTCCACAGCGGCATTCAAAGCCTGGGCAGGGGAGAAGAGGACAAAGTGGTGATCAATCTGATCCAATTCAGATTAAACCTGAACTATGATCATAGGATTCAGAGGGGAAGGTACCTCAGACACCAGGAAACCCAACGCTCTCACAAGAGAAGAGGAAACTGAGACACAGAGAGAGGAAAGCATTTGATTCAGATCGTATGCCTGTACGTAAATATCGGGGCTGGGACTCAAGCCCAGACCCTCGAAGGCCCAGGGGATAGAGTGTTGTACCTGGAGCCAAGGAGACCTGAGTTCAAATCCATCTTCAGACACTGAATAGCTATGGGACCCTGGGCAAGTCACTTAACCTTTTTTGCTCAGTTTCCCCAGCTGTAAAATGGAGATAATAGGAGTACCTACCTCCCAGGATTGTTGTGGGGTTGATATAATATTTATAAAATACTTTGCAAACCTTAAAGTGCTATAGAAATGTTAGTTATTATCATTATTATTAAAATCACGTTTGGGTGGCGGATAACAGAGAAAGAGGCTCTTTCTTGTGATCCCCTTGGCGGTCCAATGGACACTGACTCTAGATGTGAGCTGGGCCCACAGTTACCAATGACACCGGGCTTGAGGCTGCAGCACCACAAATCCCATGGGGACCTTTATGCAGACTGTGCCTGTGGTGATTTAGGGCATCTGACATCCCATAAACATAGGAACCAAGGGAGGGCAGCTGATTCATGCCATAAATAAGGGCAGATGTCCCTGACCAAGCCTAATGGAATAGGTTCCCTATCAGACAAGGGACCCTTCCTTCCAGTTTCTTAAGCTGTGTCTGCTGAAAATTCCCCTAAATTTCAAGAACAGGAATGTACTGGACAAGTCGTAATAATAAAGTCAATTCAATTCAGGGAAGACTTAGTGCCTCCTATGGGCCCTGTGGGTGAGAACTGGCCCCGACCCTTGTGGAACCTGGCCAGACTGGGCAGGGGCTTGGCTGGAGTCCCTTCATCCCACTCAGTCCATGGCAGGCCCCCCAGACATACTCCCATGGAAGCCCCAGCTGACCCCCGGCCCAACCAAGGAAGAGTAGGGAACATCACACAGGCAGATGCTCAGGCCCACAGACAGTGGCATCATTTGAATCTAGCACTGTGGACTCAGAGACAACTTGTTCCCCCAGACTCTCTCTCAGGTCTGTTACAGGGTAGCCAAGGATGCAGAGTTAGAAAGGACCCACTCTTCCCAACAACCTTGTAGAGGAGGGATTATCAGATTTAATTTGCAGGGGATAATTTGGAGCCCTGGGGGAGAACCCAAGATGGAGGGTGGATGACCTTGCCCAAGGTCACACCGACAGTGTCGGCACCAGAACCGGAGCCTAGGGCTCCTGGCTGAAGCACTGCCCTGCACTGTGCTGCCTCTCAGTGTAGACGGAACGTAGAGAGTCGGGGCAATGGCATGGTAGACTGCGTTGTCCAAGCCTTTTAATTTACAGGTAAAGAGAGACCCCTAAAGGATAACTGATTTTTTCAAGATTTCACAACGAGGGGATGGGGGAGGAAGAGGCTGCCAGGCAAACAATGGATAGCTGTGGTCTTGCTTTCTGCTCAGGGGAACTTCCACCCTGCTCCTCTGCCCTCCCAAACACATTGCAATAACAGCAGCTCACATCTGTAGTGTGTTTGAATTTTACAAGACACTTTCTTCACAGCAATGCCTGGAGGCAGTGAGCACATTATGATACCCACTGTACAGATGAGTAAATTGAGGCACAGAAATGGTAAGTGACTTGGCCAAGCTCACATAATTATTCAGTGAGGGAGGCAAAATTTGAGCCTGGTCTCTGGACCCCAAGTTCTGCTCTGTTTCTACAACACCAAGCTATCTCCTTCTGGCTTCTTTCTCTTAAGAATAGTAACAACAGTAACTCAATTCTATAGTGCTTTAAGTCTACAAAGTACTTTTCCTCATAACAGCCTCATGAGGAAGGGAACACAGATTTCATCTGAAGCTTGCAGATGAAGAAGACAAGATGCAGAGAGGCTGCGACTGGCCTACAGCCACACAGACGGCAAGCGATGGAGCTGAGACCGAAGCCAGGTCCTCCTGGTCCCCACATCCCTTTCCCCTACATCCCTACACTGGGGGGTGGGGGGGCATTCGGTGGAAGGTGGGGTTTGGATGTGGTGGGCACTCTGCTTTGCCTTTTTTCTTAGTTTACGAGGAGGCTGCCCCAAGCAGGGCTCCTCCAGCATCTCAGCACGCTCAACACAGAACAGAGATGAAATCAACCTCCAGAAGCTCCGTTCCATTTCTACCTGCTGAAAATGAGAGAGAAAACCCCAGGCCAGAAGTAGGTTAGTGACAAGGTGCTCGTGGGTGATTTTAGGAAGCACTTGACAGGAGTCCCTGGCGGAGTGCAAGGGCTCCCAGAATAGAACTGCACCTCGGTCTCCTAGGAGCGCTGAGGAGCTCACTGGCTCTTCCTGGGGGTGGGGAGCTGCCTGCTGGAGGCGGAGAACAGGAGACAACTGGAGCCCAGAGAATGGCTACTCCATGCTCCAAAACGCCTAGCCAGCACAAGTGGGAAGGAGCCAGGCTCAGCACGCAGCCCTCAGCTCCTTCTCCAACACCTAAGCCACTGCTCTTGATTCAGTCTCCATCAGGGGTGCCCCTGCCTGGAGCCCCATCTTTGGAATTCTTTCCCTCCTCTTCTCTGTCTCCCTCCCTGGTTTCCTTCCTCCCAAGAGAAGTCTCTCTCAGTCCTGTTAATGCTAATGTCTCCCCTCTATTGACATCTTCAGTTTCTCCTGTCTATAGCTTGTCTGTACAAGGCAGTTGCTTGCATGTGGTCTCTCCCATCTGACTGTGAGCTCCCTGAGAACAGTGGGGCTGTCTTCTGCCTTTCTCTGTGTGCCCGCCCAGGGTTTACCATAGCGGCTGGCACACAGCTGCCACTTAGTCACTGCTTGCTGACGCAGGGAGCCTGGGCATTAGCTTTGCCTCTTCCCTCTGCCTCCCGCCCTCAGACTGCTGGTCTTCCCCTCTGTCCCCATCCCTCCCCTGCTGCCCCAGTCTGCCTTCTCAGGCATGTGTCTGGTCACGTCCTGCCTCCACTCAGCAAAGTGTCCAGAGGCTCCCCTCTGCTTTCCAAGTGTACCTCCAACTCCTCTGCCTCACACTCAAGGCTCTCCCCAACCTGACGCCACCCTCCTTGATCTGACCTTCCATTACTTTCCTCTCTGTGCCTGGAAAGCCCCCCTTCCCCACCTTCGCCTGGAATATTACTGTCCACCCTTTGAAGCCTCACTCAGATCCCAGGCCCTCTATGAAGGCTTCTCCTGAAGTTCCCTCTCTGCCAAAAGCAAAGCAGCTGATGGTTCTTGCCTTAATTGATCGTAACTTGCCTTAATAATAATTTCATCTTTTAAAAGATGGAAAAAGCAATGAAGGAAAAAGCTATTTTAGATCTGATTGTCACCTTCAAGGAGAAACTAGGGTGAAAAAGATGGGAATCTTGGTAGGAAATGACCATTCCAAAAGCAGAGCAAAGACAAGAACCATTCAGACTTGCGCCCTTGACTGTGGGCCTGGGCCCTTCAGAAGGCTTGGAGAGAGGAGAGGCAGGAGGGCTGGGAAGCTCGATTTCAGGCAAAGAAAAGCGGAAAGAGGGGGCCGGTGGGGTGCACAGGAAGCAAGAGCAGGGAAGGAGGGATACAGAAGTGCTGGTCCTGCACAGGGTCAGAGGTGATAAAGTGCAAGAGAAAAGCAGGCTGGTGGGGGAATCTAAGGAAAACAAAAAAGGTTTTATAAAGAAGCTGGTCTGGCCAGAGCTCGGGATAGAAGGGACAATGTAAGGAACCAAAGAAGAAAGGCAGAACACCCCAAGGAGAACGGTCTTTGGCCTGGAAAGGACAAACTAAAACTGCCTCACAGAGAAGTGAGACTCCAAGAACTCCAAGATGTGATCTGGGAGAATGGAAAAGGGCAAATTCTATATCCAAATTTCCAAAAAAGGAAAACAGTGGAGTCTGCAAACTCTAGATCAGTAAGCGTGAATTTAATTCCTGGAACAATTCTAGAATATGCTAAGGTGAATATGCAAAAAAAAAGAAACAGTGATCACTAAGGCCCCCTTGATAAAAGTTTTATCAGAAACAGATCCTACTCGGCGAATTCATCTTCCTTTTCCAAAAGGGTCACTAGACGACAAGGCAACCTCTATTTGGCAGATATGGTTTACTTAGACTTTCAGCAAAACATTTCACCAAATTTAGAGATCCAGGCTAGACTAAAGCACAGCTGGGAGGATTAGAACTAGTAGCCCTTAACGGACTTGTGTCACCTCTGGAAGTCGCTTGTAAAGTACCCCCGGGATCCGCACTTTGCTCTTTACAGTTTATCAACATTTTGGATAAAAGGACAGAGATGGGACAGGATAGGAAGGGACAGATGGCATGATGGATGACACTCAGATGAAAGAAGGATAACGATAAAGTCTTAACCTGAGGTTCAAAAAATCAATTTCTTAAGTACAAGATAAAGGATGATGGTTCCTGATGTTCTTGAGATGTGCTGAATGGGGTCCTGCATGTGCAGACTACGGTCACTCCTAGGGCTCTGGAGGCACGAAATTATGTGTGTGTGTGTGTGCTCGGGATAGAAATTATGCACGCGCATATGTGTGTGTGTGTGTGCGTGCATGCGTACAGGCACCCACCCCAGCCTCTGGATGTCTCTCCCACAAAGACTCACAAATATGGGGATGAGTCAATCAGTCCTGAAGCTCCTGAAGTCTCAGGTGAGTTGGTCGTTTCTTGGAGAGACCTGTAAAGCCCTTCAAAGGGTCTAATAATCTATGGTAAGTCACCATTTCAGACCAAAGGGGCCTGAGGTGCTCAAGGGCACATGCTTGAGAAACGTCAACGCTGATGCTTCACCAGACAGTGTCTTCTCTCTAAGCTCAAACGTGGCTAGAAGCCACCCCTCCTGAAGCAGAGTGACACTTTAGGCCCTACAACAGAGAGGCCGCAGTGGCCTCAACAACCCTGAATAATTGAGACAGGGAGGGGCTGCTCCTACCTGTGCTTGTTCCATTTCCAACCCCAGTTGCACTTCCTTCCCTCCACTCTAAAGACATTTTTTAATGCACTGTGAAGCATGCTAGAAAGAGCGCTGGATCTGGATCTGAACCATGCCCCTTCCCCTCACTAGCTGTGTGACCTTGGACAAGTCCCTTCCCCTCTCTGGGCCTCAAGTTCCCTCGCTCATAAAGTAGGGGGGTTGTTCCAGATGATCTCTAAGGTGCTTCCCAGTCCTAAGACTTAGACCTCAGCCCTTCCATGGCCTTTCGTCTAATTCTCCCAGCACCAAGGACAGAGGTCTGCACACAGTCCTGCAGGGACTCTGCCCAGGGCCTCCTGCTCGTACCTGTCAGACCCACTTTTTTCCGACAAGCAAAGCAGCGGTTCTTTTTCAGTTTGGGTTTCTCAGATGACTTCTCTTCCTCAGAGGAGCTCTGAGATGTCTCAAGAAGAGAACCTGGAGGAGAAAATACATACACAGAGTAAGGTCAAGCAAGAAGACTGATTCCCAAGAAGCACGCCAGAAGCCAGGTAAGCAGTGGGCAGTCCTGTCTCATTAAGCTGTCTCATCAAGCTCCAGGTAAGTGTGGGCTCATTTCAAGGATGTGGCTGTTAGCCATGACAAGCCAGGTCTGGATTCCTCTTAGCAACTAGCCTTTATCGCTGAGGCCTACACTTGGGAATATAATCACTGGGAGCAATCTTCATGCTTTAGAGGCAAATTTGATTTTGGAAAGAACTGAATTCTGAGAGAATGGTGGGATTCTTGACCTCTTACATATCTTGGACCCTTGGGTAATCTGGTGAATTTTAATACTATTGTGGTTTGCTGCCTATATTCATACTCAAAAGAAATCCTATATTTCAATTAGAGGTTAGTGAAAATAAAGATGTAAATTTTTTTCTATTCAAGTTCATGGACCTCCTGAAATCTTTTAAGGGGTCCATGGACCCCAGGTTAAGAACCCCCAATTTAGAATAAAGTCTGGTGAACATGGTAAGTGAAGTGAGTTGGAAAATATCATGTGGGGGTCAAAAATGAGATATGACTATAAAGTAATGATATCAAAACATTTTTTCCCCTAAAGATGTCTTCAATACTTCACTGTGTCATGGAAATGACTCTGGGCTCTCAGTGGCAGTGTTAGACAACCACAGACAGACTCCACCAAACTATGAATGCTGCGACTATGAGCCTAGAGACGGGCTGTTCCAATCAAGTCAACCTAACAAGCATCTATTAAGTGCTTACTATGTGCAAAACAAAAAACAGTTCCTGCTCTGAAGGAGCTTACAGACTCTACTGGGGGAATACAAGGGTGTAAACAGGTAAAGCTGGAGAATGACAACGTGCTGGCCCAAGACCAGACTAACCAGATTTAGAGTAGCTCATCTCCAGAAGTTTAGACACGAAGGTGCTAATTTTGGGGGGACAGGGTGGGAGTGTACAAAAACTAATGGAGACCATCTATTAAAGCATTAGTTAAGATGACAGTTAAGGTGACAGTTAAGAGGGGCTGTGATCATTGGATTGTAGCTTCCTAGCTGGAAGACACCAGTGAGGTGGTGTGAACCTTCTCTTTTTATATATGAGGAAACCAAGCCCCAGAGAGGGTTAGTGACCTGCCCCCAGTCTTACAGGCAATAAGGGACAGACCCAGAATTCAAACCTTTGTCCCCGAACTCTGCATCTGACACTCTTCCCATGAGATCATGCAGCCACCCTTCCTCAATAAAAGAAGATCTATAACTAGTGAAATCATGGATCCTCAAAGTACTGAAAACTAAGTCCTACTTTTCCCCAGAAAGCAGTATTTTTCTATTTATCATTTATATACGGGACCTTATAGAGACAATATGCTCACTTCAGTTAGCTAATCCAGATAAAGACTGGGGTTTCAAATTGGGTAGGGGGAAAGAATGGTATTGTGGAAGGGCCACTGAGGCAATGTCAGAGGTCCTGGAGGAGCCGTGTGGCCCACTCTGCTACGCCTTTGAACTCCAAGTCCAACGCTCTTTCTACCATTCCATACTGCCTTGTGTTTCATTAGGAAGGGAAATGAGTTGCTACACACCTACCTTAAAGTTGGGCAATCAGGTCCAGGATTGGATCATTTACTAACTGGGTTCAGCTCTGGCAAACACAAGATTCCATTTTGGAAAATCTGTGCCAATGTCTGTCACAGACAGTGTATATAGAGGTCCCCTATTCTTGCTGGCTGCATCAAGTAACTTCAGAATCAACAGCTAAACCCCCCCGGGATGCTCTGTCTGATGATTTGGGGAATTCACTTTGCAATGGGACACATTTTTATACACAGTCATTGTATCACCTAGACCACAGAAGCTCCTTTGGAAGGGAATCAGAAGGTCATGTAACTGTCCAGTTTTACTGCCCCTGGTAAGGCGAAGAAAGAAATCCCCTTACACCATCCCTGACATGAACACTCAGCCTCACTGTGCCTCAAATCCTGAAGCAGCTGCTCTGGGCAGGGCAGCCTGAGGGGCTGGGTAGACAGAGATAGAAACAAACAGTCCCCAATCATGGGCCTTCCATTATGCTACCCTGCATTCAATGAGCTCCAATGATGGCTAATTCATTATCTTGTAAGGCACACCAGGCAAACTTTCTTCTGTCTCTGTGCTTTAAAGCAGAGTTTGAAGATTGCACAGTACTTTATTTTGTCCTGTAAGTTTTCCAAGGGCCTTTTTAATTACTCTAACCAAGTCCCACAGAGTCATCACAGAACGTGTGAATGGGAAGGGACCTTACCCTGGTGGCATCATCCAAAAGTAATTCCCACAATTGCCTGCACCTGACATTAATACTCTGCCTGGAGAGCTCCAATAAAGGGAAGCCCACCCCATCTTGAGGCAGCCCATTCCACTTCGGGACAGCACTAATTGTGAGATGGTTTAAGCTGATTTCAAGCCTGAATTGCCCTTTATTGCAGCTTTGACCCTTTACACCTGGTTCTGCTCTCTGGGGTCAAACAATATAAGTCTAATCCCTCTTCTGCACAACAACAGCCCTTTTAATATCTGAAGACCCCCACCATGCAGTGGTCATTCATCCCAGAAGCTGCTACTATGTGCCAGATACCAGGAGGATGCAGGATACAGTGGGAAGAGATGAGCTGGGAGGCTGAAGGTCCTCAGCAAGGCATTTATCCTCTGGGTCACAGTCTCCCCATTCTCCCATCTGTCAAATGAGGTTCAGTGGAAACTATACTGGAATAGGCATCAGGTGCTCCACTTTCTAGTTCCACCTTACTAGCAGTGTGACCATGGACGTGTTGCATTGCCTTTTGGGCCTAAATTTTCCCAGTGGTAAAACGAGCCAGTTGGTCTGGATGATTTCCAAATGCTACAGCCTATGACTCCATGTTTGGAAACCAGCCAGCCCCCGGGTATTACAAGACCTCCAACCATCTCCCTTCTGGATCTATCCATTACCTGATGAGGGAGTCGGGGAGAGCGCCTCGTCTTCCTTGACGTAGCTGCCTGTCTGGCTGTGGATGTCTTCCTTTGATATGCTCATAGCTGTCATCTGGTGGGTCACAGGAGTCTGAGAGCTCAATCTGGGGGCCATCAGGACAGCACACATCAGAGAGCAGGGAAGAGAGACAATCAGCAAGTTGATCTTATAGAGGCATGGAAGGTGATGGAGAATAACAGTGCCTCGTCACTGGGAAAGGCAGGGGTGGGGAAGGAGGGCCAAGGGGAACACAGGGATGGGACACCCAGGAGGACTGTGCTCACCTGGCTAAGACATCATCAGGTGTAGGGTTCGCCTCCTCTGCACATGCTGCAGGGAAGGTCTCCAGGGCAGCAGGATTGGGGCTGCTGGCCACTGTGGATAAAACACAATCAAGCCCTGGAGGGTCATGCTGGTTTGCAAGTTTGGCCTAGGTCTCATTACATCTCAGCCCTAGGGAACTCGAAGGTGGAAGAGAGGTGGTTGGCACCATTGAACCCTTCTAGGTGCTTTGCACTATACTGGAAACTGCAGGGGCTGCAAGAATATTAGTCTTGATCCCTGCCCTCTAACAGCTTCCGGTCAGGTTGGAAAACTGGTACTAAAACACATACAACAATGAGAGAACAAGCAAGTGTGGACTTGTAGGATAGACAATAAGGCCTATGCAAGTCAAAACCGTGCAAGCTGGAATGGGCGGGAGAGGACTCATGAAAAACTTAATTAACAGACTTTGAACCAGTGACTGCTCCTTTTGGACTGGATGATCTCTAAAACCCTTGGATCTGTGACAGACAGCATCCCTGGAGCTGTGGGGCAACCGGGAATGTACCCACTTTGGGCAGGCAAGAGACACACATTAAACTCATTGTAATCTCTCCTCTAGCTAAAAAACAAACCAAGCCAGAGGACTATATTAGCCCTGCCTTTAACTGCCTTGCCATTAGGAAGGTAGGAGGTGGCAATGAAAAGTCCCAGAAAGTGTGAATGACATGCCAGCCAGGTATTTTGGAAAGAGTACTAGATTGGGAATCAAAGCACCTGCACCCTTCACCTGTCCCTTGGCATCATTTTCTTTATTTGTAATAACACAGGGTCTACACCCTTCTTCATGCCTCCCTCACACCAAATTACCCTGTGTTTATTTTACATATTTATATGCAGACATGCTGTTTCCTCCAATAGAATATAAGCACTTTGAGGCAAGGCCTCTTTCATTTTTGTCTATATCCCAAGTGCCTGGCACGTAGTAGGACCTTAATAAAAATTCCTACTGGTTGACTGATTTCAGCAGGAGAGGGAGAAGACCAGGAGAAAACTTTGAGATGACTCTGGTTAGGAAGTTATTGTTAACAGTTCAGCCATCACAGCACCTTCTCTCCACTCCCACCAACGTCCAGAGTAAAAGTCAGTGGCAATCCAGTTCTGTCTCTCATTGTCCCCAAGTTCTGTGCTCTCTTCAATATCCACCATTGGCTAACTGACTGCTGACTTGGAGATGCCCTTGGGGAGCAGGTAGTCTCATGTCCTGATGGGAAGGACAGGGAAAAAAGGGTCATCTGACTCCCAAGGCCCACACCAATGAAGCCAAGGGGAGCTGGAGAGGAATGAAACAAAACAAGTTTTAAATATCTTCCAGGATGGAAAAGATCTGGGAATAAAAATACAGGCAGATCCCTGAAAAGGCACCAGATGTACCTTGGCAGTGGGCTCTTTGTCGCCAAAAAAGAGCCTGGATTAGATCACAAAATTTAGAGACGGAAGGGACTTTGAAATCATCTAATCCAATGCCCTCATTTTATGGGGGGGTGGCTGGGGAGAAGTGAGGTCTGGAGAGGGGATGAATCTGCAGGAGGACACAGACATAAGTGGCTGGTGCCAGAACCCTGCAAGCCTCCCTCCCTGCTGCACTTCCCACCCTGTGTACAGGACCTCTCTCTAGGGACCCAAGGACATGCCCTCTCACTACTGGGGCAGGTAGAGAACATGCTCCCACAGGCCAAAGTTCATCTGGTTTGGAGTTGGAGGTCCTCTAGCCATCACCCAGTCTAGCCGCCTCATTTTGTACATAAGTGCACCCGAGTTTCCTGATTCCAAGACATTCTTTAAGCCCTTGTGGGGGCCTGGTGTTCAGATGACCAGATGGCTGGGCCTGGTACACATTTCTCCACAGAAACAATGGGAAACTCTATCCTCTGTAGCATCCTAGGTTAAGAAGTCTTCTGGAGGACAGCTGCGAGACATCACTACCACTTGCAACACTGTCTCTGTAAGAAGATATGTTTCAAGTTCTCTCCATTGCTGGGGAAAGAGGCAGTTTTCAGCCCAAGCAGAATTTCCGTTGACCCTGATACTGCCCAGAATGGAAGCCCACACCGCTGTCCCTGCTACTAGGGAAGACCAGTGATCTTTTGGGTTTATAAAGCACTTGCTTCACAATAACCTTCTGAGGGACATAAGGAAAACATCATTATTCCCATTTTACAGTTAAGGAAATGGAGTCTCACTGAGATCAAATGGCATGCCCAAGGTTTCCCTGGGGGAGGCTGAGAATTCAGAAACATGAAGCATCTGAGCTGTGATTAAAATCCAGACGCTCTGATTCCCAGGCCCCTCCACTGGTGCTGCTCTTTACCACTCCCCTGTAAAGCTGTGAAGACGAACAGTTACAGTACACATTTCCATAGTCCTTTAGTGTTCACAAACCACTTATTCTGTCACAAGAGCCCTCAGAAGTTGAGAATGTCAAGTATGGTCATTGTGACATCCCCATTCCCACAGATTCCAATCTCTCTCTCAGCCTCCCCCTCCCAGGCTCTCTTCTGTCAAATGAACACTACTGGGGGCTCAGGATGGTGCCATTCTGATAGAACATCTATTAGTTTTCTCTTTTTGTCCCTCAAAAGCCCAGACTGCTGCACAGGGGGGCAGCAGGACCCAGAACCAGAAGGGCAGAGCGTGCCAGGCTCCACCAGCCTCAGCAGTCACTGAAAAGCACAAGCCACAATCACCCTGTGTCATATCTGGGACCCACCAACAGCACACTCTCCTCTCTAAATCAACTCAGTGCCGTTGAGTCCTCAAACCAGGTCTCTGCCCACACTTCAATCACCACTCTCTCCATATTCCACATGCAGGGCCCAGATCTCCTTGACTCTCCTAATGCACCGTGAGAGTCCAGGGAGTAATTATCTGAATCAGAGGCAGCTGCTAACATCTCTCGTCTTCCAACCCAGAATCCCCAGAGTCCGACAATCATCTGCATCTCACAGATGAGGGCCCAAGAGGCTCTTCCCAGGGCCTCCTGGTTGGGGTGAAGCTGAGACTTCGGGGCCTTTGGGTCCCAAAGCCAGGAGCTTTCTAAAAGGGCCACAAACCCCCTTCTAGAGAGTGGTTGTAGCAATGAAAGTACTCATTAGCAGGACTGGCAAAGGGATGAGGCCCCTCTCAAGACCAGGCCCTAGGGCCTGGTCTTCTCTTCCACAGGAAGGCTCCCACACACAACACCCATTTGTCTCCTCATCTGGGCAGCCCACCACCTCCCTAAGCCTCAGTGTTCTCATATGTAAAATGGGCATGGCAGTACTTACACCACAGAGCTTCTGTTGCACTGAGGATTGTATTTTGTAAACCTTAGAGTGCTGGAGAAATCAGTTACAGTGCTAAGCCTCCTGATGTGGGGAAAGAAAGGTGCCCTGGGGATAGGAGACGTCCCAGAAGCACACGACCTGCAGACACACCCCCTTACACACCATCCATCATTCAGCTTCTATTTGAAGACCTGCAGGGATGTGGAGGCCTGCCCCCCCCCGCCCCCAAGACAGCTCTAGAAGTTTTCCTGATATGGAGCCAAAATCTGCCTCTGCAGTACTCCCTGACTCCCAGGTCTGTCCTCCAGGGCTAAACAGAATAAATCTCATCTTTCTTTTGAGAAGCAGCTTAGCACAGTGGACAGAGTCAGGTGGTCAGGTGGGACCTGGCACTTATAAGCTGGGTAATCATGGGCAAGTCATTTAACTCTTTTAGGCCTCAGTTTCCTCATCTATAAAATGGGGATAATAATGCCTGCTCTATCTCCAGAGCTGTTGTGGGCTCAAAGGACGGCTGTAAAGCACTTTGCCACTGTCTGTGTGATATAAATGCCAGCTGATATCACTATATCCCACAAAAATGCTTCATCCTCCTTAAGTCCGCCCACCCCTCCCCACCCCAATCATTCTCTTTCCCAGACTAAACATGCGCAGTGCCTTCCACTGGTCTTTTCCTGGCTCTCCAGTCCTCTTAGCATCCCATCAGCAATGTCCTTCCTATAATGTGGCACCTAAAACTGAACGCAATACCCCAAATGTGGAGGGCAGAGGGCAGCATCCCCACCACTACCCTCCCTCTGGCTACTCTCAATGATGTCTAAGACACTTCGACACTCATCTCACTGAAGCAGGTACTCCCACTTCTGACTCACAGATCAGACAGAACCGTCTGCCCCTTCTCAATGTCTGTGTCCTCCTAAGAATCCTCCAGACAACCCCCCCTTGGGGCCTTCAGCATTCTGGGAAGACCCACTTTTCACCTGCTCCGTATCCTAGCCTTGCTTCCTAACTGGCTCACCTCAGGCATCTTTCCCACCGTTTCTTGTGCACAAGTCCCAGTTGGGGACCAGCTGCAGTCTACTGACTCTTAATCTATCGTCTCTCCTTTGCCCACTGGACCCTGCAAGTCTTCTTTAGAGGCTGTGGTACTATCCCATGATGCAGAGTCATTTTCATCAGGAAAAGTATTATTGTTAAGCAAATGGGTTTTTGTGCCAGAGAATGGCTTGGCTGCCATGTCACACTGGCTCCTATTGAGAGGGTAGCGCACTAGGACCTCCAGATCTTTTTCAGATGTTTCTGATCCATCTGGTGTCGGCAGCCTACTTATCCACCTTCCCTCCCTATGACTCCTTACCTGGGGGACTTGCTCTCCCACTACTCTGCTGCCGCTGGAGGAAATCCTTGTAGCAGACCGAGCACATGCCGTTGGTTCGAGGGTTTCCATAGAAGCCACAGCCTGTGGTGCACAGCAGGGGCACCTGCGTCTGGTTGGTCTCCTGGGCCATGGCTGCGCTGAGCTCAGCTCCTGACATCAGACAACAAGGCAGATTGAGTCCTTTCATGGAGATAGGGAAGGAGTGCAGAAGGAGAACAGCTTGCATTCTGGGAACTCTTTAAAGTTTAAAAAGCATTTTAAACATTTCTTTTTTATTATGAAATTAACAATCAACAAACATGAACAATTTAATATACAAAGAATAAAAAGGGAAGGTTTTATATGACACTGAATTTCTATTACATAAATTTTAAAGTTCACAATTACATTTATAAAGCATTTTCCTCACAATAATCTTGAGAGGTAGACAAGGCAAGTATTACTATTCCCCTTCTACAGATGAGGAAAATGGAGAACAGAAGGGTGATTCCCAATGGTCACAGAGCCTAGTAAGTGTTAGCGATGGGACTAAAAATCCAGATCTTTCTGGAGTAGCATTTCTTGGACTATACTATACAACCTGCAAAGGAAACCTTGCTGGGACGAGTGGAGGGAAGGTACATTTCTCCATCAGTTTTCCAGGGTCAAGAATGGCCATCGCATTAATTCTTCTTGGGGTGTCTATGTGGTTTCCCTTTATGCTGCTATGGTCACTGTACCTTGATCCCCCCTCTGGTCTACATCAGTTCCCCTTCCACCTCCACCCCTACCTCATTTTAAGGGATTCTGACTCCAAACCCAGTGCTCTTTGTACAGAGTCTTTTTTTTAAGTTTCTCCAGAGCTGACAGTTCAGGTCTCCTCGATGAAACCTGAGCACAGACTGCCTGGCAATGCTTTTTGTTCTGGTTAGGCAATAGGGTTAAGTGACTTGCCCAGGGTCACACAGCTAGTGTCAAGTGTCTGAGAGATTTGAACTCAGGTCCTCCTGACTCCAGGGCCGGTGCTCTATCCACTGTGCCACCTAGCTACCCCAGTAATGTTACTTTTTGAGGTAATGTTTAGGTCTCATTTTTTTGTTTCCCTCAGGACCTAACACTGGATTGTGAATATAGGAAGTGCTTAATAAAGGCCTGTTCCCAAGCTGGAAGCATTACAAGGATGCAGCTGAACTCTCCTGTCACTGTTGGGCCTGAGGTTGGAGATTTTTATGTCTTCTATGATGGCTAGTCCCTGGGTCTCTGAGCCTGTCCTTTCTTCACAGTCCCAGGTAGCCCTGTAATGATTCAGCCCAGCATCCCCATCCTCCTCCATGCCCAAGCTCTCCAAGAGTCTGGGTGCATAAACATCAGGGCAGCAGCTGTGGGGCACTCAACGTATCCAAGACATTCCTGAAACTGTCAAGGGACTCACTCAGGCTGAACCAGGGCCTGGGTGAATGCTTCCCAAGGGGTGTCCTGAACAATGTTTATACTGCACAAGAATCTCCTAAGGCTCTCTCTCTATCCCCACTTCCAGGTGCCCAGATTCAGGCCCCTAGAACCAAGCTGATTGTGCTCCTGCCCTGATCAGCACAATGGAATTGAAACACCGCTGGATCTGGAACTAGAAGGCCTGGTTCAGGCCTAGGTCTCCTACTTACTATTTGTAAAAGTTTGAGCAAGTCAGTTTCCCTTTCTGGGCCTCAGTTTCCCCACCTAGCTCTAAAGGGTTAGATTGCTGTGGCTTCCTACTGCCCACGACCTCAAGCCTCAAAGTCTCTAAGGCTATCCATAATCACTGTAGACATCATATGACGTAGAGTTACAAGTACAAGTTCATCTGGTCACACTGAGACTCAGGCAAGTATTTACCCAAGATTCTAAGCGGGAGAGCCAGGACCTGAGCCAAGGACCTCTGCCTCCACCATCCTGGGCCTTGCTGAGCCCTCCTTTCTCTTTCCCACCCCCTCTGCTCTCGGTCAGGTAACCCAAGCTGCAGCCAGGGGTCCCTCACACACCAGGCTCCTCTTGCCACCTTTGCTGAGATACTCCTCAGGGGTATCCAAGGAGGGGGTGCCATCCTCCTTGCTCTCCACCTGCCTAAATCTGCCCTGACTGAAAGCTCCAGCTCCAGCCTCAACCCCTCTGTGACACCCTGTCTGATCACCTCAGCTCCAAGGCATCTCCTTCTCCTGAGGCTCCAAAGCACTCATGCTCTCTCCCTCATCTGACCCTTGGCAAATAGCACCTCTTGTGGCATGAGCTCCAACTGTCCTCTGCCACAGCTTTATGAGTAGACAGTGCTTTGCACTGTGGAGTCTGAGGAAACCTGTATTCAAATCTTGCCTCCTATATTTATTAGCAGTTTGACCACAGGCAAGCCACTTCAGCTCTCTAAATCTCAGTTTCCTCATCTGTAAAACAGAGATCATCATAGGATTCACCTTACAGGACTGTGGTGAGTATCACTTTGTAAACCTTACAATGAGACAAAAGCATTAACTATTTCTTTGATGGTAGAGACTATCTTGTTTACCTGTATTTGTATACCCATCACTTTAGTACCGTGGCTGGCACATTGTAGGTGCTTAACAAAAGCTTCCTCTATCAAAGTTTTCAAAGCACTTAGCATAATGCCCAGCACATAGTAGGCACTCAATAAATGCTTCCTTCTCTTCCCTACTGAAGACAAAGGAGAACAGGGACCTCTGAATCCCCTCCCAGTGCCTAGCATAGGGCTGGGCCCATAGTAGAGACTCAGAAGATTCAGTGATGGATTAACAGAAGCCTAAGAACAGTGTAATACATTTTTTTGTACACTCCCGTGATTTCACTGGTATAGTTTTCCCTATAAGGAAATTCCCTCAACCAATGCAGACTGGCAACAGCTCAGTGGCTTAGGACAACTGCATGGGGCTGCTGAAAAGCAAAGGGACTTGCCTGGGATTATACAATCCTTTTTTTTTTTTGCTTAGGCAATCGGGGTTAGGTGACTTGCCCAGGGTCACACAGCTGGTGTCAAGCATCTGAGGTTGCATTTGAAGTCAGGTCCTCCTGACTCCAAGGCCAGAGCTCTATCCACTGCGCCACCTAGCTGCCCCCAGGATTATACAATCCCAAGGTGGGGCTTGAGGCCAGTCTTTCAGACTCAGAGACCTGACTCCATTACTCTGTGTTGCCTCTCTGTAACAGGGAGGAAGAGGGGTAGAAAGTAGAAGAGAAAAAGCATCAAGAAGGAAAGAGCACTAGATCTGAGGTGGGAAGATCTCCTGGCTTTGCCACTAATTAGTCGTGTGACCTTGGGCAAGCTTCTTCCCTTCTCTGGGCCTCACTTTGAGGTAGAGGGCTAGATGTGATGATCTCAAAGCTAACTTCCATTTTCTAAAATGGCTCAAATCATATTCTCAGGGCTACAAGAGTCCTTAAAGATTCACAAAAGCAACACTCTGATTTTATCAATGACAAAAGTGAGCTCCAGAAATCAAGTGATTTGTCCAAAGTCACATCAAGCACTTATCTATGACAAGAAACGCCAGAAACTCACTAATACTTCCTTTTGGGAAGCTCAGTGCTTTTCAGCTTGGGAGGCAGCCTCCCCAAGGAGCACTAGCCCTCTTCTTGACAAAATCAAAGAGCTGGTACCCAAATCTCAGACCTCTCTCCCCACCCTGTTCCTGTCTCCTTTCCCAGCCCCTTCCCTCAAGGGAGCATCCTTTGCTTTCAAGGGCGATAGTTATCTGGGGAGGTAGTGTGTCTAACTGGCTTTCAAAAAACATATTTACCCTTTCTCTAGCTCTTTGCCTTGAATGCAAACTCCTTGGGACACCACAAGAGATGCCTCCTGGGGTCTGGGAAATCATGTCACCTTACCCCTATCTCCAATGTTCTTATGTGTATATTAAAAATACCGTGCTGTTGTTCAGTCTGACTCTTTGTGACCCCATTTGGGGTTTCTTAGCTGGAGTGGTTAGCATTTCCTTCTCCAATTCATTTTACAGATGAGGAAACTGAGGCAAACAGAGTTAAGTGACTTGCCCGGGGTCACACAGCTAGTAAGTATCTGGGGTCAGATTTGAACTCTGGAAGAGGGGTGAGTCTTCCTGACTCCAGGCCTAGCACTCTATCTACCAGCCACCTGGCTGTGCCCACCCCCCCCCAAAAAAATTTGTCCCCTATAGTTATCTGTATATGGGTCTTACTTTTGTACTAGACTGTGAGGTCTATGGGGATAGGGATCGGGTATTATCCAAACTTTGTCAAGCAACCCAGCACAAAGCTCTGTACACAGAAGGTGCTTAATAAATGCCCTAAGAAAGAATGAAGGTACAGCACTGGGCAGTAGCAGAAAGAGCACTAGATTGTCGGTCAAAAGGCCTGGGTTCGAGTGCTGGTTCACTCGATGACCTTGGGCGAGTCCCTTTACCTTTCCGAGCCTCAGTTTCCCTGACTGGCCTAGATGACCCCTTCCAGCTCTGAATCTTAGCCAAAGCTCAGCTCATCAGAAACTTTGGGTTTGCCTCCCTGTCCATCACGCCCGCCCCCAAGGCCCAGCCACCAATCCCGCCCGCCCCTCGCCATCCCGCCGACCAATAGGCAGTGCGTTCTTCAGTGAGGGGCGGGATTTGGTCCCGGGCGGCCCCGGGCCCAGCTGCGCGGCCCGTGGGGTAAGGCGAGGCCGGGGATGCGCGGCCTAGCTCAGGCTTCGCCGCTCAGCGGCTCGGCGCGGCCCGGCCTGGCGACGTGACTCGGTCAGGGCCTGAGCGGACGAGTGGGTGGATGGCTGCGGCCTCGGCCCTGGGACACGGGGCGCGGGCGGGCGCCCCCTCGAGCGGCCCCGCCGCGCTCACTCACCTGTCGCGGCCCCGGGAGGCCTCCCGGACCCGGCCCAGCGGCGGCGAGGGCGGGCTCGGGGCCTCCCGCCCGAGGGAGGCGGCAGAGCGGGGCGGCCCGGGGAGGGAGGCCGGCCAGCCGGGGCGGAGGGCTGGCGGGGCCGCTTGTCGGCCGCTCACACGCGCCCAGGCGGCCCGGCCCCGCGGCGGGTGCCCAACATGGCCGCCGAGCGCCGCCCGACCCGCGGCTTCCCCTCCCCCTCCCCTTTCCCTTCTCCCCCCTCCTCGCTCTCCTCCCCTCCTCCTCCTTCTTCTGCCCCTTCCCAGCCTTTTTCCCCTCCTTTCCATTTTGCCCCTCTCCCTTTTCCCTCCTCTGCCCCTCACCCCTCCTTTTCCCCTCCTTTCCTCCCGCCACCTCTCCCCTTCTCTTCCCCCTCCTCACCATTCCTCTTCTCCCATCCCCTCCTCCTCCCTCTTTCCCCTCGCTTCTCTTCCCCCCTCCTCCTCCCCGTTCTCTCCATCTCCTGTCCCCTCCCCATCTTCCCTTCTCCTCCTCCCTCTTTCTTTTCCCTTCCTCACTCCTCTCCTTCCCCCTTCTCCCCCCCCCTTTTCTCTTGGCCTCTCCTCCTCCAGTCCTCCCCGTCTCTTCCAGCAGCTTACATTCTAAAATGGAGGAGACGTGCAATTAACCAGGCACATACAGGATGCATTATGGTGCAGCCAGGTGGTGGGGTGGGTAGAGCACTGGGCATGGTTGTGAAGCACTGGCACGGTGCCTCGCCCATAGCTACTATCATCAGCCTTATTATTAATACTATAGCTATTGTAATTACTATTATTATCACCTCCTGCAGAAGGTGAAGTTTGAGCACAGGCTTGGAGGAAGCCAAGGGGCAGAGGTGGGTGGGTATGGAGGGGTGCACGAGGCATGGCCCTAGGATGGAGGACAGCCAGGGCAGAGGCCAGGAGGCTGGAGATGAAGTGGGGTGTGTGAAGAATATCAAGGAAGGCAGTGTATGAGGATCTCAGAGCCCAGCCTAGAAAGGCTGTGAAGGGCGTCCTTGAATAGGATGGTTGGACACCTCAACACTTAGAGAAATTGAGAGGCGAAGGTTTCCCTCCCTCCCCCTAGGAGAAAGGGAACTCGAGACAGACACCCTTTACTAAGGGATTAAAGGGCACAAACTCAGAAATACAGATGCCCTCACAGGAGGGGAAATTAGGAATTGCATTGGCTTACCTTACTTAAGAGAGAAATTGGGGCGGGGGGGGAGAGACACAGACTCCTCTTTGATGGGCGAAATTCAAGGAACCAAACCCTTTATTCATGGATCTGTGGTCTCGTTGTTGTGCTAGTGCAGATCACAACCCAGCCATGCCTGCCTAATCTATATGACTCATCTATGAGGGAGGGAGGGAGAGGAGAGAGAATAAGCATTACACAGTACCTACTACGTGCCAGGACAAATATCTCATTTAATCCCTCAACCATCTTGGGAGGCAGACAGAGGTTAAATGACTTAGGGTCACATAGTTAAGTGTCTGAGGTTGGATTTAAACTCTGGTCTTTGTACCTCCAGGTCCAATTCTCTGTCCACAGCTCCACCTAGCTGCGTCTTAATTATGGCACAAGGGGTCCATCCAGTATGCTAGGGACCTTGCTCACTTTCTCTTGACATCCCCTGGATACCAGTGAAGCTTTATCCTTTGCCCTGGCTTCATGATCAACCCACCTTTATCATTTATGCATTTCTGTTGATAACACCCATTATACACATTTCTCCTTAATTCCTTGTAACGTGTTACAGCCTGCTTACAATCACCTTGCACCTCTCCATTAATGGTCAGGCGATCCTCAGTCTCGATTCTTTGGAGACTAGAGCGTTCCATGGCCACAACACACCAAAAGAACATTGACATTAAAAAGGGAAGGCAAGGGAGGGCATTGCAATTCTTTGATGGACCTATGTTTCCAGGAGAAACTTAGGGCCCATTAAAAAAGTTTTGCCGTTTCCCCAAAGTTACCTAGCCTATTTTCTGCTTGTTTACTCCTGGGCCCAACTCACTGTCCATTTGCAGTGTTTGTCCAAGATATACAGGGTGTCCCAAAAGTCCTAGTATAGTTTTAAGCTACTACACTCAGTATACTGCTTAGCATAATCTGTATGATGGGCATTCTTCATCCATTTGGTTTTTCCCGTGTGGATAGTTAGGTCAAACTTTGGTGTCAGGTTCTGGATCTTCTTCAGGAGGTTTTGCACTAGTCCAGGATTTGATATAATCAACAGAATGCCTTCTGTCATATCATCTAGAGCAGTGGTGTCAAACTCAAATAGAAATGGGGACCACTGTTATTGATACAATTATATAGAGAGGCAGCTAGGTGGCTCAGTGGATAGAGTGCTGGACATGCAGTCAGGAAGACCTGAGTTCAAATCCAGCCTCAGATACTTCCTAGCAGTGTGACTCTGGGCAAGTCACTTAACCCCTGTCTGCCTCAATTTCTCCATCTGTAAATGGGAATAATAATAGCACCTACCTTCCAGGGTAATTAGGAGGCTGCTGGGTGGCTTGGCCTGGAGTTAGGAAGACCTGAGTTCAAATATGACCTCAGATATTTACTAGCTGTGTGGCCCTGGGCAAGTCACTTAATCTCTTAATCCACTGGAGAAGGAAATGGCAAACCACTCCAGTATCTTAGCCAAGAAAATCCCATGGACAGTATTAATGTGCTATGGTCCATTGGGTCACAAAGAGTCAGACAGGACTGGAC